AGATCCTCTGTTGAGGACATAGTCTCCCGTGTTGCTCGAATCCGCTGCAATGCAGCTATAGAAGAAATAGAATCCAAGGTTAAAATGCTAGGATTCGAGCCACTCAATCCGAGGGCATGGAAAGTTGACATTCGAAGGATCTTCCCACCGAATGTGCTACGCTTCACACTATTTTCTCATCATCTCTGGGGACGGAATTGGATTGTGGCAGCAACCAGCAGCATGGATGGCGATTCATGGTGGGTTGTGCAACTTCGCCCAACGCTGCCTGCAAAGGGTCCTCCCATCCCTCATGGAAGCGGCCGTGGCCAGTCTGTCCTCCGTTCCGCTCAGGTTGTCATGGATTCATTATTCCCCGCACGCTATGATATTGATGATGCATACCTCGCAAACCTCGGGCACAGTCTTTCAGGGATTCTGGCTATTCATTCCAATGCACGCTACTTGTCGGACTTGCAGTCTATCAAGTTTCACCCTCCCCCGCATAAGTTGAAGATCGAACCTGATCTCCGGGTGCCAGATATCCTTGTCCGGTACGATGTATCAACCCTTCCTAGTGTCTTTAGGGCAGCCATGCCCGTCAAGGCAAAGAGGAAGAGTCTCATTAGAGATACTATTCGTCTTGCTTTCCATGGAGTTGATCCTCGTGAGAAGTGCGCTATCATGGTAGCTTATGGCAACTTGGTCGACTCTACGGCTACTTTAGGTCCACTTATCTCGAGCTGGGATCGCTCACTAGTGTTTCAAAAGGGAGGCAGTGGCTTTGCGATGCGTTTGCTTGCACCTGCTGGTCACCCGGTCATCGCCAGCCTTCTTGAAAACTTGCAGAGGCTTGAGTGTGTGCTTTCCGTACTTGAGTCACTGCAACGGAAAAAGGTAGAGATTCGGACCTTCTCGCTATCGAGTATATCCTTCGTCTATGGTCCGGAGAGAGATCTTGCGGCTAGCCTCAATATACATCTGTCAAGGAACGAGTCTCTCATGGAGCTCAGCCCTACCGAGCTGGCATCTAGGTCCGAGTCCTTATTTGGCCTGCGTTTAGGCATACAGTTCGGTCTCCAAAACCCGCACCGCCGAATCCAGGAATCCCTTGCGTCTAGTCTTAACCGCTCTTCCACCGAGGCGGGACTTGAGACCGTTGTTGAACTCCTCACGCTTACGCTTCCCCTAATGAGAGCTTTGGACCAGCTAATGGCCAATACCTCAAACAGCGGGCCTTTGAGACTGCACGTAACAGTGCGCAACGCTAAGACTTACCAAATCTACTACCCAGGGGACGAGGCTCGATTTCAATTGGTGGCTGCTTCGCACCAGAACCGGTTGGTTTGGGTACTCAAGGACGCGAACAGCCAAGGAAATAGTAAGAACGATGACAATATCACAACCAGACTCCGACAGACACTGTATACGTCAAAGGGCGATGGCTGGAAAGGGCTTGAAACTGGAGTCGTGGCAGAAGTCACCAAAGTCGGAAACCTCTTACGAGAACTTGAGAAGTGCTTTGTTACCTCCCGGGCTGATTCCAAACACGATCCTGCCCATTGTGCTGCCAACTATAATGGATCGAACAATCCAGGGACCTCGGCGTCGGAAACCGAAAAAGGGACTGCAGATGGTGCTAAACTCTCCCTCTCAGACCCGCTTACAACCCTGCCGAACGACAAAAGCAATCATTCCCAGGCAGACACGGCAGCGCAGAAAGAGGACATAATCATGATCGACTGAAACAGCACATGGCCACTGCCTGAACTAGTGCATCTCCGGCATCTATTTTCTTTTCACTTGAAACGTATCTGTTTTCTTGGCCATTGCTTGCGTCTTGTACAGTGTCTACAGGTCGAGCTCTTTATGATTAGAGGCTCCCCTATTATGCCAGCTGCTGTGGTAGCCGAACGCATGCATACGTTTTAGCAGGTGCTCCTTGTGGTTGAACTTTAATTCTTTGGAAGAATATAGTCTAATGAGGTGAGGAGATTTGCCTCGGGTGTCGGAGTGTTAAAAAAGGAAAATCATTTCTATTGTGACCTATAACAATACCCGTTCATTGCATGATGCGAATGTAACCGCTCACCGTATGTCAAAACACAAATGTATATCTACATAACACCAAGTCGTTAACCTCGCAAGAAACAAAAGCTTTTTCTAGCACCTAGAGCATAAGTTCCGTCACGTACTCCCCCGCTACAAGCGTTCCTGCTGTACCCTGCCTCGATTCTTGATGGCATCATACTCAATCCACCGGACAAACGATAGTTCGCCCTCCGGAACAAGCCGGCCAGGATTCATCACATGGCAGCCCTCATACGTTATGCAAAACGGCGCGGCCTCTGGATCTGCAAGAATGATTGCAGTTGGCAGCGGATACAGCTGTAAGGAAGAGACGTAGTCCCACAAAACGGGCCGCAAAGAAAGCGGGAAAGGCGACAAAGTGCCCTGGTCTAGAATTGATTTCACAAGCTTTCGAGCGAAATGAGTTGTACTCGGGGCTGGATTAGAGTCCATGCTTGTCTGTGGGCTCTGGCTGTGAGGTTCGAGATGGTCGGTAGTCTCCCCAGGAGACGCGAGCGAGTCTTCAGCCATCGCGATGTCAGCGCCGTGGGAGAGGTTTACAGCGTTTCGTCTCAACCTGTTGGAGATATCGTCTCTAAATATCGCAATATCATGGACAGGCCCGAATAGGGTAAGGCGGGAAGGATTTGAAGTCCATATTGCCTCCCCAGGAGGCCCAGACGACTGTGAGGAGTCCGACTGCGAGTTGGCAGTAGCAAATGCACGTTTCACTCTGGTAGTAAATAACTCTGGAATCGAATGGCGGGGGATTGGGGAAGCCGCGCCAGCTGAGAAAGCTGACGGCCATGGATCATTGTCGCCCGGAACAAATATGAATGTCGAGTGCTGCAACAATGAAGGAAACTCCGACAGTATCAAGGAGAGAGCATCAAAATGTTCTTTGTACTCAATGCTGCCCGCCTGGCCGCTGCTGTTTATAATGGCTTTCTGCACGAAATTCCCCGTCAGGACGAATACGCTTGGCCGCTCCTCCAAAGGCAAATGGTGATAGACGCTGAAGACCTTCCTCAACGCGTCCAGAGTCCGCATATTATCCAGATTGACCTCCCCCAAAGCAGCCACCCTTAACCGGCGGTCGCCTTTAGCTACATCTCGCAGAAAGTTGGTTTCAATCTGCCTCATTCGCGGACCACGTGCACGTTCACTTCCGACTCCCAGAAAGTCAATCCATCCAAGTCCTCCACTAGAACTGACCTCTCTGCCACTCTGTTGGTTGTTCATCCCTAGAGATGTCTCCCGCCGCTCACAGGGAGGACCGCATATAGAAACGCCCACGAAAACTCCTCCAATGGCACCCCCAACCCCGGAATTGCCGCCTAGAGTGGACCCCCTAACATTTTCCTCTTCTTCATATATCCCATCAACAAGGACAAACATTCCTGGAGCGAGCCAAGCTCCATCGTCAGGTACCATCCGCGCGTGTCTAAGATCCAAGGAAATACTCCCCGTCAGATCGCTCAGTGTTAGGTCCCCCGTTGGGGACGTTGAGAGTAATCCTAGAATAAGGTGTGATGTGCCATTTCTCCCGAGTAAATTCGCGATCGGCGTGAGCTTGTAGCCTTGGGTAAGCGCTGAAGCAGATGATGATTGCCGCAAGATACGCGAGGGACCGGACGGTGATTGAAATGACTCATGCCGAAGCAGACGTTGATGGATAAAATTGTAACGATCTCTAAACAGATTCGTCCTGTGGGAGGATGGAGGGAATAGGGTGGGCCTTGATCTTGCGACTTCGAAGTACTTCTTATCCGCATTATAGGTCAATCGCGGTATATCAAATGCCTCGATAACTTTAACCCAATGTCTCGGGTGTGAGGGTACATCAGAAGTTTCTGCTGAACCTTCTCCTTCCAACCCTGCCGCTGCATACAATGGCGGATCCGCCCTAGAGCGTCTGGTTCCTTGGCCTGGGCTTGTCGTTCTCGAAGGGACCTCATCTGACGTGGCGTGCTTCCCAGAGACAACCCTTCCCCCACTCATATTGCTCTCTAGAGTCTGGAGGATAGCTTTCAGTGAGGCGCCTTTACCTTCGTCGACAATGACACCACCGCCAGCTTTCTTCCAGGCTTTGGCCACTTCATCGAGTACTCTTTCTGCGAGACCTTCTTCGCGCCATGCCGAGCCACAATTCTTCCCCACGAAGGTGGCTAGTGTTTGAAGCGCAGAGGAGGATATTGTTAGGTTATGCTTGCGCGTGAAGGTACGGAAGGCCACGGGCCGCAGAGTCGAAGGAGGAAGCAGTATGGGAAGGACTGATGTCCTCGTAGGCAGCGCATTAGGTCTGTTCTTTCGAAAAGGATAGGCGGGAGTTCCAAATCCGGGTGACGACGAAGGTACGGGGTCCGAGTCCATATTCAGATAGTAGATTGCGACTGCGACACCGATACTGCAAATCCGCTTTTGGCCGAATGCGCGTCTAACTGCCGGATATCATGCGGGGACAATGTCACGACAAGAAACCCTGTAGAGGTCCTCGGAATAGGTGAAGAGGGGGAAAACTCAAGGAAATGAAGAGGGCGAGTAAAGAACTAAGCACTGTTGTCAATACAATGTGATTATGCCAGCGCCGGTTGACTGATTAACCATGACCTACCTGGACGAGGCATTGACGTATGGAGTAGATCAAGCAGAACGCGTCGTGGCGGCGGTGATGGCGGCACGCGCGTCCCCCACGCGATTTGTTCCACTTTTGCGACAAACCTACATGGCCATTATCCTTGATCTTCCCAGAACTCGCTTTAAGCACGGGTCATCACACCAGACCAATCCTGATCAAAGGCACCATAGCATTCGCCAGAGTAGCCTCCTTTCGTGACACTTCCCTTTCCACCCCGTTCAATTTTCCACCGCCTATTGGAGGGGTTTCCCTGTCGGGTTGGTTCTGGTTCATTCCTCGTCCATTGTATTACCATCAACCACACACATCCACAATGGAACCAAGTACATCCCCGAAAGACGATAGTACGAAAACTCAAACATCTTTGGACGACCTTGTCAAGCAGGCTGCCGCCAAAGATGCCATCAAGGATTACAACGCCGCTGCAGAGCTATATTCTGAGGCCACGGAACTTCAAGCAGAGCTCAACGGAGAATTAGCGCTGGAAAATGCAGATTTACTATTCGCCTACGGAAAAGCTCTCTATAATGTTGCCGTCAGCAAGAGCGACGTGCTTGGGTCCAAGGTAGCTGGAGAATCACAGCCGAGCAGCGCGTCTGTCGAAAGGCCATCCGCTGCGGCAACAGCCACAACCACGGGCATCGTTGAGAAAGCTGTCGCCCAGGGCCCACCTGAGAAGTCCCCGGGAGCCCAGAAGTCAAATACTGGTGATGTTCCAGCTAAGCCATACTTCCAATTCACTGGTGACGAGAACTTTGACGACTCGGATTCGGAAGACGACGCCGACGGTGAGGAAGCTGCGGCCGATGACGAAGACGACTTTGCCAATGCCTTCGAAGTTCTTGACTTGGCGCGCGTACTATACCACAAAAAGATGACTACGTTAGAGGAGGGAATCGGCAAAGGCAAATCCGCAGATTTACCTCCAGATCTCAGACACGTCAAAGAACGTCTCGCGGATACGTACGATTTACAAGCGGAGATCTCACTGGAGGCAGAAAGGTTTTTAGATGCAGTGACGGACTTGAGGACGTCTCTGGATTTAAGGCAGTCTCTGTTTCCGATTGAAGATCCTTCTGTTGCAGAATGTCACTACAAGCTTTCTCTTGCCCTAGAATTTGGCTCCGTCAAAAATGAGAATGACAGTTCCCAAGAGGACAGTACCCTCAAAGGGCCGGTCGACGAGGAAATGAGGGAAGAGGCCGCAGCTCAAATGGAAAAGGCTATTGAAAGCTGCCGTCTAAGGATGGATCAAGAACAGAAGAAGTTGACGGACGATGATTCATTGGATGAGGACAGGGTGACCGCTATGAAGAGAAGAATAGCAAATGTCAAAGACATCATAGCAGACATGGAGCAAAGGGTAAGCAACAGCCTTCTTTTCAAATTCCTTTATCGCATACCCTTTCTACTTCCTTTACTTCGGCTACAGTTACTGATTACGTCGACAGCTCGTCGATCTTCGACGCCCGCCAGTATCTGCTATTGAGAATAGCGATGCAGATAACACAATGCTGAAGGGTATTTTGGGTCAGATCATGGGGCATTCCCCTTCGGAGCAAAAGGCTCAACTCGATGCTGTCACGAGAGAAGCAAATGACCTTTCTGCGTTCATCAAAAGAAAACCTGCGAGCAATAAGCCACCCCAGAAGAGTGACACTGTACCAAAACGAGCGGCTCCGGAAGAGGGCGCGGGAGGCGATACAAAAAGAGCACGAGCAGGCGATAACCTTGAATGAACCTGGGTATACTGATCGTCAGAGGCATCAACGTGTCTGGTGCTCTGTCTATCAACCCTTTGTAGCAGCTAGAAACCACCTGAGGAAGTGATCTATCATGCTAGCATTTGCTCAAAGGTTTCGAGCATTAATTCGGATATGATACCCAATGGAGCGAGGCCGCAGAAATAACTATACATTATACAGAAATAGCCACCACGTTATCTGTGAATTATATCGTGATACCACATGTTATTATTATTACTGATTAAGGTGATTCCCAACAAATCCACAAGGGAGAAAAGGAGAATAAATCAAAGAATCAGAGCCGTCTGCTGCACAAAGCAAGGCGATTTCATAGCAAACAACCCCAGCTGGCTCAATCCGAAAATGCGGGCTGTTGGGCCATACTTCATTCAATCAAACATCATCCCATGATGCTTCATTAGACGCAGGAGCATAGCTCATTATCATAGGGCTGTGATCCCGAAAAGAGAAGACCGGCGTTCAGGCAATTTGCGATTTCTTCGGCGTACAGCCAACCCAGGGGTCCAGATCCCAGAGAATAAGTCCTCGCATTCATCTTCGTTCTGGCTATCAAATTCTATACTGTTCGAAGGTTGGCCATGTCCAACCTCGGTAGAGCTGGTATACGCTGGGAGTAATGCTGTTTCAACAAAGGCGGGTGACTCCCAAAAAGAAGATATCATTACCCTTTCGGTCTCCAAAATGAACTTGCCGACCTTGTAACGTTGCGATTCTTCTTCAGCAGCGATATATTTCCAGCCGAGCACATTTCCGCAAATGGAACAGTTGATGTCGCCTACTGTGTGCGCACCAGTGACCAGTCTCCGCGGCACGGGCTGCTGTATCAACGTATTTAGAAGTGTATCGGTTGGTGAAGGTCTTCTAGCGAGCGCAGGCTCGCCGGACACAAGATAGGCACGGCCGTAGCGACCAGTGAATCCTTTGCTGATTATCTGCGACGTCAGGCATATATCTGCTGCACAGTGTGAGCAGCGGATGCATGAGACATGGCCCTCCAGATAACTGGCGTCACTTGGCTTCAGAAATCGTCCGGATCCTTCTTCCGAAGATGGCACTCTGGACCTCACGCTTCGCTGTTTGGTTCGGAAGAAAGATGGCTGGAGCAAGAACTTAGGAAACATAGAGAGAGCCTTGGGTATAGGATCTTTGCCCTGTGAAATACGTGAACAGGGGGGCATGTGTAGCGACCAAACGGCGAGAGCATCAGAGAATGCTGCTAGTTGTTATCATAATTCTAGTACCTCTAGCATAGAGGAAGAGGCAGATGTTACTGTGAGGTATAAATATGGAAATGGGTAGGTATCATACTGAGGTCATCACCCGCTCCTTGGCGATCTAGCGATCGGAACGAGTCATGATATGGTCAACTGACAAAATATAGTTATAGATCCCGGCTAATGTGCTAACTACAAATGTGAGGCCATTTTCGGCTTGACTAAGGAATGGAAGCATAACCCAAGATCAATACATATAAAAGGATTATTCATGTCATTTGGCCTTTGCTCCTTGTTAGAATTAAGTGAACTAGCTGTTTGGTTGCCTACAGCTAAACCTCCGCATCCAAGAAAAGCCATTTAGTGCTAAGCGAGCGTTCGACGTCTCTTGCACCACTCCACGGTTGCAAAGTAGTCAAACTGAATCCGCACCAACCGAGGTTCCGTACAGCTTCTAGTTCAACTGCATCGTGCGAACGGGGTACACATGCCACAATTCGGGGGCACCCAAAAGCAGATATATTAGCAAGTTCAAACAGGGCAATTAACCTTATCGGGAACAAACACGACAGTATGTTAGTAATATCCACGGGTTTATACCTCGTCTACAATTAGACGAGAACATTGGTGCACATACCCTGTTTTCAGACCGTGACCGAGTGCGTTCTCTGCAAGGAAAACAAACAAGGTTGGTTCACCGCTCGCATTGGTTACAAAACCACGGTGTATAGTGTCGCTGGTGTAATCCAACAGCTCAAACCACTGTTCAATCGGCATACTATTGTTCGGCCGGCTTTGAGACGCACCTACCCCAAGTGACTCTTGTCCAGCGAAGCTCCTCTCACCAAGGAAGATCGCAGACAATGTGTCACAGAAGAGCCTCTCACACTCTTCCGGGATAGTATGCATTGCCTCCCCTTTATATTCCGGTAATATATTGCCCGGCCAACTAACCCCCATGCCTGGAGCGATGGAGAGTCCAAAGGGAGGACTTGGAGATGTCTTTGACCCCGAAGGGACCTCAGGGATACCACTGTGTCCCTAATAAGATGATCAGAAGTTAGCAGGTAGTTAGGAAGTTTAGACCATAACGATCGATTGCGGAAAGGGGTATCGTACCGGCCCCCGCGGTAGTGCAGTAGTGGAAACTATCGATCACGGAAGTGGATGACTTGACGCTGTAACAACTGGCAAGCACGCTAGCCTGGGGATGTTTGTCGAGTGTACACTGCAACTGATTTCGGGTGCTACTGTTGTGATTCGATGACTTGGCCATGATGATGGATCTTATAAGTTGAAGATTAGATGTGCTATCTTTCGGGACAGGTGGGGGCGACTTGAGAATACGTATAAGGGTTCGGGTCCACTGGGTAGTTATCTTGTAATAACCTTCTGACAGCCGCGATAATGTTAGGATGCAATGACAACCGGTGCGGAAAGGTGGTGCAGGTGTACTAGAGGTTGGATGGTAACTAAGTAGGGATGGGATAAACTGGGGTGGTCTCCCGTGGATTCCTGGGACTAGTTACTACGGAGTACTAAAATGACATGTGGGGCTCCATTAGTCAGGCCGGAACATAAATAACTAGTTATTGCGTGCCCGGTAGTTATCTATAGCTTTTTTTAATTAACATAACCAAGTAGCTAGTATGTTTACTCTTGTCATATGATCAGATGCCCAATGCTGTTTGTATAACCTATACATCTCTGCTGCTTAGAGGAACGTAATTTTACATAGGTAATCACATTTGAGAGGTGGTCTATGTGGAACCTCGCAGGATCCTCAGGTGGTTATGCATATAGATAACGACGGATACCTTTGCCCACAGACAATCATATACACATGAGTATCTGATAGGGCCCCCAAACATTGTAATGTAACGAAATTTAAATGTCCTTCTAATAAAGCTTTGGTTTTGATGGATGTTATATCTTGATTTCACGAAGGCAATTCCCATATGTGGATACCCAATGGCGGAGCGGCTTTGATCTCAGACCGGCCTCATCAAAATTACTATCTACGACCACTTCGCAAGTTATTTACGCATCGGTAGTCGCTAGACTTTTCATCTGGCAAGTTGCTTAATGTGGCGCTAATATTACATTGTGTACATTCAATTGCACCTTCAAATAACAAGCCCGTTAGAGCTGGAACCATCTCCCTTTCAACTCCAACAATGTGCAAATTTCAAAGGGGCAAAGCCTGCAACATGCACATGCCCACATGACAATGAATCAAGTAGCAGTTATGAACGCCGATGAATACAAAACGAATAGAGAATGACGGGGTGAACAGCAAGACATATCGGAAAAAGGGAGACCTGAGACCTAACAACCGCGGACACGTCGAAGTGAGTTTTTATCTACCACCTCAGAGCTCTCGATAGTCACTTGGTCGTATCCTCCGGTGTCTCGCTTGGTGCCGTTGTGGATTAACAGGTTGCCGAAAATAAGCCGTATCTTCTTCCCTGGCAAATGGTGTACTGAACGTTGTTCTCTGTTGATTTGAAAATCGACCTATTCCGGGACCTTGCGCAAGACCAGGATTCGGTTGAAGTCCCATCATTTGAGGCATGTGGAACATGTTCATAGATGGCTCTCCGACGCCGTTGTAAAGATTCGGTGTGGCATAATTGTTCACATTGTCGCCATAGATTCCTGGAGCAGGGCTAAAATTCATAGCATTCATAGCATTCCAAGACTGATCCATGTTAGGTGGGAAACCACCAGACGAAGGAACACCCATAGAGTTCATAGGATCAGACAATGGCATTGTAGGCATCCCCTGGTTCGGCATGAATCCAAAATTCCCGAACGGCATCTGCTGGCCGAAAGGGAAAGCTGGAAACCCGGCCACAGGCCCAGTAGCCTGTGTATTTTGTGAATCGGCCTTGTCGTTTGTCTTCAGCTTTTTGGACAACGAACTAGGACTTGATCGAGCAGCAACAGTACGGGGAGGTTCATCTTCAGCAGGTCTTTTGTTCGAAGCTGGTTGACTAGGCGGAATTGGTGGCGAAGACTCCGTAGTTGCAACAGGCCCTTTGCCTTGCATGGCCGATTTATCAATACCGGGACCATTGTCATTTGCCTGTTGCTTGTCCTTCTCTTTCTTCGAATCCGCTTTTTCAGCTTCGTACTCTTTGATCTTGCTGATAGCCTCATCATCAACAGTAAGATTATCGAGTAATACTCCCTCCGTTCCACAGCCAGGGCATACAAAATCGCTCTCGATTAATGCATTGGTAATACAATCATTGCAGTATGTCCTTTGACAGCACGGAGTTCTAGTGGGCTCTAAAAACATTCGCTTGTCAATCGGACACTCTAAACCACGTGCTTGCAGTTCTTTGCTGTACTCTGCTGCGGCTGCTTCTGCTGCGGCTGCTGCAGAGGCTTTGGCTTTTTCCTGGTATAATTCCCAGGCTGCCTTGTCAGGCTTAGCTATGACAAAATCGCCATCGGCATTAACCATGACACCTGTGTTCCTCGGATCCTCGTTTGAGCCGTCCAGGGTGAGGGATTCCGGCTTTTCGACCTTGGTTTGTAATGAACGGGGTATACCGGTTGATCGTTTTACTCTATATTTCCCATCAAATTTGGGGTCATTATTTGTGGGGCAAGCTTGGATCCAATGGCCTGATAGTATACCGTTAGTTTTAGCTTTCAATGATTATATTAGAACAGCTTGCCTTTCTCACGACAGCGGTAACATAAGTAGCCGGGGGGAGGGGGGTGATCAGGAACATTCACAGGTCTGCCCCTTCCACGGCCGAATGGAACAGGGGTAGCGCTATACCGGAGACGAACTGTCAGTACCAGAAGAGGAGGGGAAAAAAAGAAGAAAAGTCTTACTACATATAGACACACTTACTTTGCCATTTCCTGCTGCTGTTCTTTCCATTGATTTGCTTGCAAATTGAACAGTGCATTGATCTTCTCTTCCTCCGTCTGGGCATTGTTGAGCTCTAGAACACCGTTGCTAGTATTGGGGGATGCTCGAGCCAAGGGAAATTGTTCATTACGGGGGGCACTGCGCGCATTGACTGGCATTTTCCCGGAAACATAACGAGCAGCACCACCCTTCCCTGGGCGTGATGCAGGCAATCTCCGAGCGATGACGGACGTAGAACGCGGTATTATGCTGGTGTCATCGTCGTATTCTGTCCCATAAAAACAAACGGTCAGTCCCCAAACATCATTTCTCTTAACTTCAACCATGACCTGTTCCCGCTTGCCATACGGGTTGGGCGGACCAAGGTGGATATGAACGGTAAAACCAAGGCAATCAGTTTCCAGAATCTACTAACCTTCTTTAGTATCTTCATTGTAGATAGACAGCTCAAAGTCAGTCCCGTCACCCAGTCTACTCTGATTGATAATTTCTCTTTTCAATTCGAAGACAGAGATACCGGTGCCATCAAAAGTCACCCTTGAAGGCTCCTTTTGAGACTTGAACTTGAAGTGAACAGAGGATGACATTGTATTCAATTGCACGTCAATGATGGTGTTGCGAATGTAATTAGATCAATAGAGGGGTGCCACTTTCACAAGAGATACACGAGAACAAAGGCAGACAAATGATAACAAGCAACAATCGGAACGGTTGGCAAATTGCAGATGACAGTATGACGTATAGCCTCACTCCTGTCTCAAATGCTTAGAGTTCGTAAACCAAGTATCTATCGAGGGCTTTGCTCGAACTCAGTAGATTGAGGAAGCGTCTTGAGTGCTGCGCGGCAAGTGTTCGAATCACTGCATACAAACAAGGTGTAAAGTCCGGTGGATACAGAGACGAAGCCAACTAGTCTGCAGTAAGATAATGTGAGTTATAAAAAGCTCCGCGGGCCTTGCCAGTATAACAAGCAGCATCAGACGCCGCAACCCATCTAATTCGCGCTTGCGACCGAGCACAAGAGATATGAGTTCATGTAATCTTCGTTGAGAATAGCCTTGGGGCACTTCCACGAGTTTTGGGCGATCAAGGCATGGAATATTATATACGACCAAAGTGGATGAGACTTAGGGAGGCAAAGATGCAGCGAAGGTAAGAGGGCCTTTGAAAGAGAGATATGCGTGCAGGTTTGGGTGCGGGAGACAACGGCGTCACAGTTGAATTGACCAGTATAAATTCAAGGGGAAAGACCCATATATGACGAGAGAAAAGCAACTGGGTAGAAACAAGGCAATCTTCAACAATCAGTGCATTCTCCAGGACATGTGCAAGGGTATGATCAAAGCCTGGAGAGCGATTCGGGAACAGTCTTCGTGGTGGCGAGCTAGCGCATTAGGTCACGTGATTCTGCGCCAGATGTGGAAAGTATAGGTTGCCTGCTTACTCTGTAGAGACACTTTGACTTTCCTAAGTCATAGTACTGACATTATCTTCTGGTACGTGCTTTTTGATGGTCAGGAAGTAAAGTGAACATATGTATTACAAACTTCCTAAAGGGTGATAACTGTAAGAAGCACCGTTGCCGAACGGAAATGCGCTAAAAGTATAAGGGCCAGCAATGTAGTTAAGTAGTTAGCATTCACCTTTTCTTTTTGGTGGAAAAACTTGGCATTCCGCGTATAACTAAATGACTAGGTGCCAGAATCGATCACGGCTTACTACACAACTCAATATGTACTGAATAACACAGGAACCTCGCATAAAATAGGCTTCTGAGGAAAAGCGTGCGCTTTCCTGTTCTTCCCTGTACATCATTGAATCCAGCCTGCCATGCATTCATGTTATGAAGGTGTAAAAGATTGAATGCAGTACTACCGGGTAACCAATAATTGGGCAATTAACAAGAGCTCTACGGAGGTGCATAGCAAAGGCTTGAATGAAATCATTACTGGCCAGAGACAACAGTTCCCCCATGTCTTGAGAGCAATTTGTGCCAGTTGGCCAATTTGAGCCGCTACTGTTTCAAGCTTGCTTTCGTATGGCCTGCAGTTTGCTCAAAATCATTGAGCGAAAGTGGGGGGAGGTGAGCGGGTAATTATTCATGTGTGTATCAATCCGTTTATAAGTTACATGTTCCTGGCACTCCGTACCTGGTACCTAGATGTACATGTGAAAAATTCCCTACGTATCCAATTCGCCCAGCTTAATGCGACCTCTGCATGCCCTCCTGTCCAACCCAGGATCCAGCCCCTCTTCCACAAACTCGGGGACGCGCACTTATCCATTCTTCCTGCCTTTGACATTTACACTGGCTTTACCAAGCAGGTAATCATGTTGATAGGCCTATGCGGAGGTTAGCATCTTATCAAGCAGCGTGTCTTGGTGTCTTCAATATATGCTAATACTATGCGGCAAAGCCATATGTTCTGGGAAGCATGCTGTCGCAGACTATCTGATACAGAAGGAGGGCTTTCGACTTCTCAAATTGAAAGATGTCAGCTCCCTTCGGGTAACTGATGAAGCCGACGGCGATCGCCAATTACAGGCACTGGAGTCTGCAGAGGATGAAAGTAGTCCGCCACCGCATCTTATATTTGAGGACTCTAAAGCCCTCTTAGACTTTGTAACCAAACGATGGCAAGAGCATTGGGTTACAACAGACATCTGGGATGTCACTATCTTAGACCGTTTCTTTCAACGCCCCTTCTTCCTTCTAGTTAGCGTTGATGCGCCGGTGAGCTTGAGATGGAAGCGATTTGTGGACAGGTCTGGATCCTTGATAACCTTACGAGCATCGTAGCTAAGCTAACGCACCATCTGTAGATGCCGGGATAGGCTGGTTGAACCACCGCCTTTGGAGAGATTTGTATTATGGAATGACAGACATCTCTACGACAAAAATGTTGGACGCGCATACCTCACTGATCGGGCACAAGTACGACTGTTCAATTCCTCTTCTTCATTCGATGAACTGCATGCGGCTCTCAGAGCCCTCAATCTTGCCGACGAGGAGCGGTTACGGCCTAATTGGGATCAGTATTTCATGGAGCTGGCATCTTTAGCCGCTCAGCGAAGTAACTGCATGAAGCGAAGGGTGGGCTGCGTGCTTGTCCGTGACCGTCGTGTCATAAGCACAGGGTATAATGGAACCCCCAGGCACATTAGAAATTGCAATGAGGGCGGCTGTACGAGACCTAAAGATTACACATTGTACTATTGATTGAATGTACAGGCACTTACTATGACTAGGTCCAAGGTGCAACCGTGGTGAGGGTGGAGGTGTGGGTTTATCAACATGTCTCTGCCTCCATGCCGAAGAGAATGCGTTGCTAGAGGCCGGAAGAGAGCGCATACGAGAGGGTGCAATACTCTATTGTGACACGTACGTCTATCCCCGAATTTCTGAAGATGCACGACACATTGCTTAAGCCGATTAGGTGCCCTTGCTTGACATGTACCGTCAAAATTACACAAGTTGGGATAACAGAAGTTGTATACTCGCAAGGGTATAATATGGATAACGATGTATGTCCTTTGCTGTCCACACTTTGTCGTTTTGCTGACCATATAAGAGCGCTGCTATTCTAAAAGCGGCCGGGGTAAAACTTAGGCAATTCTCTCCGGTACGGGCGCTCCCTTGGCACTTCACCAGTCATCGCTAATATATTGTTGTCAGCCTCGAAAGGGGCTCATTTATCTAGAGAGCTCTGGGGGTACTAACTAGGTTTGTACGGCCCTGATATGGGTGCTACTCGGACGAATAGATTGGAGTTTATTATCTCTCCAAATTGCATACTCCTAAGTCATGGAAATTAACAAGTCCGGAGATGAGCCGGTTATGAGTGTATTGGAACTCATATTTCAGATTCTGTCCCGCTTTAGCACATGTCCACCTGCAGTACTAAGACGCTACGCAGTGAATACATGTACGTACTACGGAAACATACAGCGCGGGGAGGGGTATAGACTAAGTGGTAATTAAGGCCTTCTTTCAATGCTCATAGCAAAGGCGGTCAACGTTCATCAGGTCCCACCGTCCGATTTACCGGCAATAATGTATTAATCGGTACCAAAAACCGAACATGCGAATAGGGTTTACTAGGGAGTGAAAGATAAGTGAACTAGGGGTTAGAGGTAAAACTACAGACTACTTTGAGAGGGGCATATATGGGCAAGAAAGTCATAAGAAGGAAGAGCAAGATAGAGGATAGGAGGAATGAACGTACACAAGGCACTAGTGGAGATCAAGATCACAATTGGAAACATACTTACCTACTGAATTAACGTAACTAAAAGTGGGTTGTTGCGAATGACTCAGCCCGGCATCGCCAGCCATGGTGGGGTGAAGAAGAACAATCTTCCCAAGTCAAATTGCGACTTTTCCTATTCTCAAGGCAATAATCTCAAGGACCTACTGCTGGGAGTGGCCGCAGGAAGATTGACCTTTAAATCAGCGAAGACCTATACTTATGCTCATCGTTTCCAGACTTACTTACACAAGACATTGATAGAACGCATGCCACGATGCCTACAGTACATCTGCTAGATTACGTCGCCGGAAATGTCCGCTCCCTGGTCAATGCGATCAACAAAGTCGGCTACGAGGTGGAATGGATTAAGTCTCCAAGTGATTTGAAGAATGCGGAGGTAACCAGGATGATGTTACATTTTCTTTAGTGTAGCGCTGACTATTTGGCAGAAACTCATCCTACCAGGTGTCGGTCATTTCGGCCATTGCTTATCTCAACTTTCAGAGGGAGGCTTCTTGGATCCTATCAGGCAACACATAGCTTCTGGAAAGCCATTCATGGGGATTTGCGTTGGTCTGCAATCACTCTTTGAAGGGTCTGAGGAGGACTCCGATGTTCCGGGGCTGGGATTGATTCCGATGCGGATGCAGAAATTCAATCCCGACACTAAGAGTGTACCACACATAGGCTGGAACTCTGCTATAGACACCAAGCTTGGGTCTGCGGAGAATCGGAGCTTCTACGGATTAAGCCCAAACAGCAAATACTACTATGTCCACTCTTACGCAGCTCTTTACACCCCAGAGCTCCTTGAGAAGGACGGCTGGTCAGTCGCCACAGCTACTTACGGCGAAGAAGAGTTCATCGGTGCTATTGCGCGAGAGAATATCTTCGCGACTCAATTTCACCCGGAGAAAAGTGGCCAGGCTGGATTACGGACTATTAGCGCCTTCCTAAATGGTGATCGCTTCCAAACGCTTACCCCGCAAGCGTCGCTCTCCTTGGACAAGAAAGATGGTCTGACACGTAGAATCATTGCCTGTCTTGATGTGCGCACCAATGATTCTGGTGACCTCGTCGTCACGAAAGGAGATCAGTATGATGTCCGTGAAAAGGATGGGGTGGATACAGGCGGCCAAGTCAGAAACTTGGGGAAGCCCGTGGACATGGCCAAGAAGTACTACGAGCAAGGAGCTGATGAGGTCACATTCTTGAACATCACGTCCTTCAGGAATTGTCCTGTTGCAGATGCTCCCATGCTGGAAATCCTCAGGAGGACTTCAGAAACTGTTTTCGTGCCGCTGACTATCGGGGGCGGTATCAAGGACACTATTGATACAGATGGCACTCACGTCTCAGCTCTTGATGTTGCGACGATGTATTTCAAATCCGGTGCTGATAAAGTCAGCATTGGTTCGGATGCTGTTATCGCAGCAGAGGAATATTATGAAGGAGGCGAGAAGCTGACAGGCAAGACGGCTATAGAATCTATATCCAAAGCATATGGTAACCAGGCTGTGGTCGTGAGTGTGGATCCTAAACGTGTCTATGTGGACAGCCCAGAAGATACCAACCATCATACAATCCGGACAAAGTACCCAAATGCCGCCGGTCAGGCATTTTGCTGGTACCAGTGTACCATCAAAGGTGGCAGAGAGTCGCGAGACCTCGACGTCCGACAACTAGCGAAGGCGGTCGAAGCAATGGGTGCCGGTGAACTTTTGCTAAATTGCATCGACAAGGACGGAAGCAACAGCGGATTTGATCTGGAATTGATAAATGACGTGAAAGCCGCTATTAAGATACCAGTAATCGCCTCCAGTGGTGCTGGAAAACCCGAACATTTTGCAGAAGTCTTCCAAAATACTACGACTGATGCTGCCCTAGGCGCTGGCATGGTAAGTAGTAGTATTCCGTTCAACCCTTACGAGAACCCGTCCTGTCCTGGTGACTGATCTTTTATCCACCCTTTACAGTTCCACCGAGGTGAATATACTGTCAGCGATGTCAAACGTCACTTGGACAATGGAGGATTCCTTGTCCGCAGGCCTGAAGTGGGCAACTAGAGTTACACTTCTGACCCATCATGAGACTTTTGACCACATCAATATTCTTGGAGCACGAAACAGCCTGCAGGCTACATAAGCACGCTCTGGCTTCTAATAAACTGACATACTCGGTTTACCGAAAGGACCCTGCGTCTGACGGAAGACTCACTCTCGGAATACTGAACTCTCCGCTTAACTGAACTTCACCTGCATATGTACACGGCACCTACGGGTGGGTGAATATACTATTGTTGAATCTGCTATCTCGCTTGGCTAGCATGTGTGTTTTGCGAATGTCTTTACACCAACAGAGGAGGGTAGGCGTTCATAGTGGGAAGTTTGCGGCTTTGCGTCACAAGGCTCATATCCGCTAGTCCTCATACGGATCTCTGTAAATATGCATTTACCCTTCCACATCTTATCTGTGAGACCTCTATAATGTAAGTGAATTTGTTTGAATAAGGCCAATGGTCAGGAACGTCTATGGACAACTGATGACGTAGTTAGCGAAAGTCCGGGACGTCTCAGGTTCCGAGTTATGTCACAAAAGCGAGTATTTCATATGAAGTCTACACGTGGTCACTATGATATTTTCTTGAGTATTCTTGTAGAAACCACCGCCAGAGGTGTTTTGCATGCCAATCTAGGGTTGGTACCATTGAGGTTCCTGCAGCAACATATAGTAGAACCACTGCGTAGCGACACATGTATATTACGATGCAGTACTAAGGAACACTGTATCATGTACCTTACTACACGAGTAATAAGTTATTGGTAGCTTTTAAGGTAGCGGAGCGCAACCCCCCCCAAACCAAATACAACAGGCCGTACCAAGGCTAGAACGTACGTATCTTAACCCCAAGGGTGGGGTAGTTAACCAAGTTACTAATGACTATACCTTGTGACTTCTTGCCCCACCACAGATAAATAGATCACCCCCTCTTCCCAGCAGACACGCTTAAGGTCCCCTCACCCCTACAATATTTCGAGTATATAGCGAAAGCACTGTAATTGTGCGGACGCTGTTCTGAGATCGCTACACTCTTAAGATCAGTTCATGCACCGTGGAATATGGTCCTACTTACATAGCTCCTCTTTACTCGAGGAACGCAACAACGTCATACCCTACTTTGAAAGGAGATGAGCTCAACCATGCGCTACACTCCGTTCGCTTCCGATATAGAGTTCCCGTTCTATACGGCTTTGTCATCACTTAAGATTAATCACGACAAACTTGACGATGCTGCCCGTAAAGTGCTAGGTCTCTATGAGGTTCGATCCACAGACCTCCCTAATGCCTCCTGTCGAATGCAGATACATGGGAACGCCCTGACAACAGATGAGTGAGTTATGATCTACTACGGGTATGGGTGTTTACGAACAATAATATATATTGACAAGCCGCCTGGTCACCAGAACACCGGCTGGGTTTTATCGAGCTGAAGGAGTGATCAAGAATGTCAATACACTTGAGGAGTATACAAACATCGATAAGGCACATATTCTCCAGCAGTCCGCGAAAACGGTTAGGCACGCACTTATGAACCAATCAGGATCATACTAACTTGTAGACATCCTAGGTCTGGGATGCTATATGCGATGGCACTATTTATTCGTGCCCCTCTTTGCTTGCGTCATTCTTCATTTTGTCGTACGCGGATCTAAAGAAATACAAATTTCACTATTGGTTCGCATTCCCGGCACTGCACTCGAGCCCTTCATGGGCCCTTCTCGAGAGGACCGAGGAAACTGTCAACTCCTGTCAAACTAGAGAAGCGGTGTCACCGGCTGGGGGTCTAGAAGATCCTGAATTATCAAATCTCGTGGAGACGGTCAAGACGTGGAGCTACAGTGTAGAAGACCGCCAGCGAGGGTTTTTCTTGGCCAGGAGACTTCATGGTGCCAGAAATGGGACAATTTACGAAAGCAACTCAGAAGTTACCGACAAATTTACGGAATCATTAAATCACGATGGCCCACGGTGGAGGATTGCTCCTCTCCTAGCCTACGAGGATGGCTTTTTCAGAGATGCGAGATTTGAAGACTGCTTCGTCTGTTTCGCTGATCCTTCAAACTATGAGGATGCACCCGGATGGATGCTGAGAAATCTTCTGGTACTTGTAAAACGACGATGGGGACTCAATAAGATCCAGGTACTGAGATACCGTGACATGCAGCCGCATCCCAGCCGCGGTCATTACAAAAGCAGAGTGTTGACTCTGCAATCGGACGACATACAAGCAGCGGCTACTGCAGAGTCGCAAAGTTCGACCAAAGACATGCCTAAGGTGACCGGCTGGGAGCGTAATCCAGCGGGTAAATTGACAGGTCGCTTCGTCGACCTCACAGAGTACCTGGATCCTAAGAGGTAGGGACACCATCTTTTTTTATTGAGACTCTTGTATCATATACTGATACAATCCTCAGACTAGCCGACCAGTCGGTCGATCTAAATCTGAAACTCATGAAATGGCGTATCAGCCCTAATCTTGACCTTGATAAGATCAAGCGCACCAAGTGCCTCCTATTGGGGGCAGGAACCCTCGGGAGCTATGTTGCGAGGAATTTGATGGTATGGAAACCGCAGGAGATCTGAGACTATGTATCGGCATCTGATAATGAGAATAGGGCTGGGGGGTGTCTAAAATCACCTTCGTGGATAATGGATCCGTATCGTTCTCTAACCCTGTGAGGCAACCACTTTACAATTTTGTCGATTGTATAGACGGCGGGGTGAAGAAGGCTCTTCGAGCGTCTCAGGCCCTGTTGGAGATATACCCGGGAGTCAACTCTACGGGCCATGTCCTCTCTGTACCCATGGTTGGACATCCTGTCATTGATGCTGAAAAGTCTCGGGCGGAGTTTGATGTACTCCAGAGACTTGTTGAAGAGCATGATGTCATTTTTCTCCTAATGGATACGCGCGAAGCACGCTGGCTGCCAACTGTCATGGGGAAGGCGGCTGGTAAGATAGTTATGAATGCGGCTCTCGGTTTCGATTCGTATGTGGTTATGCGGCATGGGATTAAAGCGATTACAGAGCCATCAGCAGAACTCGGGTGCTACTTTTGCAACGATGTCGTTGCACCGATGAACGTAAGTAAAACCACTCCGGCCTATATATCGCTATGCTAAGAGTTGGAAAGTCTGTCAAAGATCAAACTCTTGATCAGCAATGCACCGTTACTCGACCTGGTGTGGCGGCTATAGCTTCGGCGTTGCTGGTAGAGTTGCTTGTTTCCCTTCTTCAACATCCCCTGGGTGCTGCAGCACCGGCCCCGACCTCGCGCAGCGATGATCGAGGAGATCATCCACTGGGGCTCGTGCCACATCAAGTCAGGGGATTCCTTGCGACATTTGAAAATATTCCAGTCACAGGCAGAAGCTACAAACACTGCAGCGCTTGTTCAGATAACATCACCCGCGCTTATAAAGAGGACGGTTGGGATTTCGTTCTAAGGGCTTTGAATGAGCCCGGATACGTTGAAGAACTGAGCGGTCTCAAGGAGGTTCGTTAGTCCATTATCTCCATTGCGCCTTCCTTTTTCCCTTGTTCCATGTTATGCGATCTCTAGCCACCTCCGAATTTCCCTGTCTTTTCGGATTCAAGTAATTTACTGACACTATCCCAAGGTGCATGCTACAGCAGAGGCTGCTCTTGCTGATGTAGAATGGGATGAGGACTCCGAATCAGCAGAGGAGATATATTTGAGCCCGGCTTGATGCTAAGGAGTGGAGGGCATGTTAGTTTGCAAATGCCATGAAATTTCAGCACCTCATCATACCATGTTTTATCAATTGCCGCAGAATCCCTTATTCAGGGTACTATTTTCGACTGAGACCAATGAAAAAAGATTCTTTGGATTCCTGCGCAGATGTTCAGTACTCTGAAGGCCTATTTATTGCTGTGTTTGACGAGGCGAGTGAATGCTTACATTGCGCGAAGATTCCGGTTTAAGGCGATGGACTTTCCGAAATAGTTCCCTGAGCTGTTCCTCTAAGGCCTTATCTTCGGCTCCTTGGTAGAATTTGCAGACGAAATGCCCTCCATTGCGGAGAACTTCTTGGCTGAACTGCAAAGCTGCGTGGCAAAGATCCTATCATCCATCAGCTGAGGGAAACCATCGAAGCATAGGGCAAGCTCAGCAACTTACCATACTACCTGCATGGTCTTTGAAACTAATGCCGCTTGTGTTCATCATCCTGTTATACGGATCACTTAGACTTCTTTTCCCAAACCCAGTCGTTTGGAACCAGGGAGCGGACATATCGCTTAGGACAACATCTACCGAGTATTTGCAATCCCATTGCTTGGGATCTGTTTGCTTATCAGAGCTCGCGTTCTCCCCCGATTTGATTTGCGTGTCATCGTAATCGGCATCCAAGATCGTACTTGGAGGGTATGGCCTACCCCTATTGGCATCGCGCACAAATTCTCGAACATAGGCCTGGATGTTCGGGTCGAGGAAGTTGCCTTGAATCGTAGATACTCCTTTAGGGGGCTGGGCCGGGATAATGTCAACGCCGAGGACGCGGCCGTGTGGTTGCGTTCTAGCTACTGCTACCTGGAGTGGTGTTAGCCAAGGTGCAATTGGCATAGTCTTCACTCTGCACCTAACGCACTTGGGACCAAGAGCCAGGAGCATAACCCTAAATTGGATGGATCATACTGTCAATCAACATGGCCCGAGTTGAGGCATCTGTGATTGTGGCTATCATACTAAATCAACAACCGTTTGTCCGCTCTCAAATATGTGGTATTTCTCGTCTATCTATTCAAAGAAATTATCAGGATGTATAGGATGGCGGGTCATGTTGGTTAAGTACTTGAAGGAGCTTGAAAGCCGCGCGGCTTTTCAGGCCCTGCACTGCTGCTTCCCTTGTGAAACGGTCCTTGAGCTGACGGGCTTGCCATCGTTTTGAGGATGAAAATCGCTTCAGTGTCTGAGAACTAAGTAGGCCAATGCCCTGTGTTGCAGGCGAACACTTCATAGATGGAACGAGTAGCATGGTTGCAGCATTGGCAAACTTGGATGGAATAAAAATGAGTGACGTGCGGAAGGATGCCCGAGCGCTCCCGCGGAAGTGGTAAATTGGGCGGGACTTGGTGTTACTGCCATTCATCATCGATAGTGGCTGGCACAGTACCACAAACCAATTGACTACATATTATTAGTGAACACAGGACATTCTAACTATTCATCTACTGTGGTGCTGAGACAAATATCCATGACGTATAGACCTTCATCCATCTTGTGGCATACTAAACCCTCTACAACACTACTATCGGGTAATTATATTGTATTGGCGCCCTACTTGGTTGTTGAGAATAGGTTTGCAGGGAAGGCCACTATTAATTGATCGGATAAATTATAGATAGATGACTCTATCAAAGAACAGCGGCCTTTGTTCCACCCGACCGAGCGGCAATATGGATTCAATTAGTTGTCTCCTGCTTTACAGTAGTAGCTGTACCCATGTACTTTGTAGCTACCGTCTAAGGAGTAAGAAGTATGGAGTACCCGCATAGCGACCCGCTCAGCGGTACGCGTTGTGGACACCTATCATCCTAGGCTTCTCGGATATGTAGTGCTGCTCCGCTGCCTATCCATCCATGAACTGTCTACGTACATGGCCAATTTCTTCGCGGATTGCTGATCCGCCTCCTTTTGACCGCACGAACTGACGGTTATATTGTCATGCCAAAATGAAGCTCTTTAACCTTTTTGTGTCTTTTCTCTGCATGGTCACTTCCGTTTCTTGCGGCGCCGCAGACACCGACAAATTCGAGAGATATCGTTCGCTCTCTCGCTCCGCCCCAATTCAACTGACCGATTCGTCGTACGAAGACATAACATCTAAGCCTCGCGACTATCATGTTGCAGTGCTTTTGACAGCCGCAGATGCTCGCTATGGGTGTATCCTTTGTCGCGAATTTCAACCTGAATGGGAGCTCATAGCACGAAGCTGGAACAAAGGTTCCAAGCCCGACGGACTTCAAATGCTCTTTGGGACCCTTGACTTTTCCGATGGAAAAGGCACCTTTCAGAAGGTATTCAGCGAAAATATGGCCTAGCAGTCTGATAATCTCAGCTGACATTGAGTAGTTGATGCTCCAAACTGCGCCTGTCCTCCTGGTCTTTCCTCCTACCGTTGGCCCCTTCGCCAAGATTGATGACGCACCTCTGCGATTCGACTTCAGCGGGTAACTATAGACTGAATTTTTTGGTCGATCAATTATCACTGACTTCGACCTACAGCCCGATTTCTGCTGAACAGCTATATACATGGATGAACCGTCAGCTTCCAGAGGGCCCGAAGCCGCCACTTGTTCGTCCGATCAACTACATGCGACTTGTCTCCGGCATAACCATTTTGATGGGTGCTGTGACGCTTTTCACGGTTTTGTCACCCTATGTTCTTCCCATTGTTCGCAACCGGAACTTGTGGGCTGCCTTCAGTCTGATTGCCATCCTCCTATTCACAAGTGGCCACATGTTCAATCATATTCGCAAAGTTCCGTATGTTGCCGGAGACGGTAGAGGGGGTATTAGTTACTTCGCTGGTGGATTTTCAAACCAGTTCGGCATGGAGACGCAGATCGTTGCTGCTATTTGTATGTTGCCCTTGATCACATGCATACATCTTATCTTATACGTGATCTGATACCAATTTGCTAATCGTGTCGTCAGATGCCGTCCTGTCTTTTGCAACAATTGCCCTGGCAATGAAGGTGCCCCGTATCGCAGACAACAAGGCACAGCAGGTAGCTGTGATCATCTGGGGTTCCATACTTCTTGGTATGTACAGCTTCCTTCTGAGTGTGTTCAAGACGAAGAATGGAGGATACCCGTTTTCCCTTCCGCCATTCTAAAGGATTTCCGATGTATATTATCAACATGAGCTTTCCATCCGACCAGATGTGAAGCACATTTGCTGCGGGTTAGCGGTTTTTCTCGGGTAGTAGCTGTGTACTACTTTTTGAACTGCTTTTCTTCGTTCAGCTCCTCCGTTGTCGTGTATTTACTATATAGTACATGGCGGAACAACTCTTCTTTTCAATGTGACCAGCTAGGAACCCTGGATTCAGTATAAATTTCCATATTAGTCGGTCGATGTGGGGTACTATAATGGCAGAAGGTTCGCAAATTAGTTATCTTGAGAGTATTGTTGTTAAAATGGTATGAATCGTATGCCTCAAGAGACTGGTCTACAGTGGGCTCATCTGCAATTTCATTGCAAGCGAGTCTGAGAGGTTTCAAAGGTTATCGTGACATTGCTGAGCCCAGTATAGTAGCGGCATGCTCACTCCAAACTCTGCAATTCTCACATAGAATTATTGAAGCTCAGTATGGACTAAACTTGCAATCAGACACACAAGGATCAAACTCCAATTACCTTGCACGGTGTTTTGACTTGAACTAAAATAGCCGCCGCTACAGCCAACCCCCGAGGTGCTTCCTTGGATGCAGGCAGTGTGAATTTTATGTAGCTAATCCTTCTTATGCAGAAAAATCAATGGCCAGTGGCTCAGTGTTAAAACACGTGGATTTGTTTCCTTTATCAACTTCGGATTGAGTACGAGGTCTGCGCATTGCAAGTAACTACCAGAATAGAATGTGACTCTTCCCATGTGCTGAAAACCTGCGCACAACGCTTCAAAAGCATCTCATTAGAACACCGAGTTTTACAACACAAAAGGTACACAATTAATCGTGAGCGTAACGCCTATCATTACAGTTTGTCGTATACACTTAGCCAATGCTGCCCTTGGACTGTGCCTGTGCTATAAGACCGAAGTTGAGGAGCTTAGACACTGGCAGATAAACGCCAGAGCACGGGAACGGGAACTACCACAAACTAGTACGCAGAAAGCACGTGGCCTTTTCGGCGGGACCCATATACTTCTCTGCCAATGCTGAGCAATACGTATTCGGACTTCTTTCACAGAGCTTATTCTTATTTTATCCTTTCTCCCTCTTCCCGACAGGGGGTTGACCAGTGAGATTCAATTACTCTGCTGTAAGTCCGGGCTGCAGGGCCAGCTTTACGAAAACACAGAGATCCTTAGATAAGAGAGCCATTGATGCCCGCGGGCTTTATCCTGTCTACATGTCAGCAGTAGATGAGAATGTCAGCGCAATGCTGGCATCATCAGCATCTGGGACGACGATGATGATTATCGTTCAACTGGCCTCGAGGATTTTCACATTCACCGCCAATCAGTTGGTTTTGAGGAGCTTACCTCCTGCCATAATGGGTGTTGCGTCCCAACTGGAGCTATACTTCATCTCGATATTATTTTTCTCCAGGGAAAGTATCAGAATGGCTATACAAAGACAGCCATTGCAACTCAAGCCCCTCACCATGTATTCCCACAAGGACAGCACTGGTACAGCCCCCAGCAATGATGTATCTGAAGCCCGAACCATAGCTTCGCAGTCAGTAGTGAACATGTCCTACTTGAGCCTTGCCTTGGGGTTCTTGTTCGCTCTGGCATTTGCTGCATCTTATGTACAGCTAGCATCGAGAGAGGTGTCAGAGTTACCCTACTACTATGCAAGCGTGATAATCACCTCCATTGCATCCCTTATGGAGCTCTCCACTGAGCCCTTCTTCACTGTAGTGCAGCAATATATGCTACACAGACAACGTGCAGTGGTTGAAATGAGTGCAGCCTTTGTAAAAAGCCTTACAACCTGCCTTGCCTGTGCGTGGGCTTCCAGAGCCGGCCACAGCATTGGCGTGCTCCCATTCTCAATTGGTTATCTCTGTTATTCTTCCACTCTCATCTGCGGCTATATGCTAGCCCTGTCGGGGGTTACAGACGCGCAGAAGTTTTCTATGCTTCCCACAAAGATAAAGTCAAGGTAGGCCATGGGAAAGTAAACTTACAATATCCTATCTGATGAAAATGTCCAGGGACACATCAGAGTATTTCATGGGAAGATTCTCATGGCCGATGATAGGGCTGTCCACAAATGTGTTCTTTCAATCGGTGATAAAACATCTTCTCACCCAGGGTGATTCAATGATGCTGGCAACAATGACGAGTTTAGAAGACCAAGGCATATACGCATTAGCCTCTAATTACGGTGGTCTCCTAGCTCGCGTCTTGTTTCAGCCCATTGAAGAAAGCAGTCGAACGCTCTTTTCCTCACTGCTAAACTCTGGCGGGAGCGGACATCTACGTGTGAAAAACGTCGATGCTGCTAAAACTCAGTTGACAGAAGTTCTCCATGCATATAGTCTGATGGCTATTGTGGGGTTTCCCCTCGGTCCAGTTCTGGCACCTCAACTGCTACGTCTGTTAGGCGGGCGCATCTGGGCTTCTCCCAAGATCAGCAGCCTGCTTTCACTTTATTGCTACTATATACCATTTCTAGCTTTCAACGGTATAAGTGAAGCATTTGTCTCATCGGCAGCAAACTCGGCAGAACTACGCAGACAAGCGGTATGGATGGGGGTGTTTTCAGCATGCTTTGCATCTGCCGCGTACTTATTCTTGAAAGTCGGCGCTCTCGGTGCCCACGGAATGGTATATGCCAATATTGTCAACATGGCAGTTCGCATCGTCTGGAGCTTTTCCTTCATTCGGACATTCATGTCTCGTCACGGAAGCGGTATGGCTATTGCTGAATTTAGCCCACGGCCGCTTACCTGTATCGCCAGTATCACGATGTCTATAGTTCTTACCTCAAAGGGTCTATATGCTCTTGATGTCTATAACACGACAGATGCACTGATACTTGGAGCTATGTACATTCTTCTCGTGTATGTCTCACAGTCTTATTTACATGCAAGCCACAGTCTAATGGTGTGTATAGGTCTTATCTCGAGAGAAAATCTTTGTTCATATATTACACAAAAGCCCGCGAGCTGGTGAATTGCAAAAGGTCCCGAACTCCAAAGTCCAAAGGCGAATGAGTCATCATCAATCGTCAAAAACGATCTTGGTTGATGTCTTATTGGTGTCGACATCCTTAAAAAAAGCGCCATATGCGTCATGTTGCTTCTTTTTAACCGTTGCCCCGAATTTGAGAAGATCTTCGGGTACATCCTGGTTAGCCGCTTTTAGAACATTTATTAGACTATAACATGTCAGTCTCGGTAAAAACTTGATCGGAATGCTTCCAAGACAATGACTACTTACGCTCCGGACTGAGCTTTATCAACCTCAGTAAATAGAGTGATGGCATGGCCCTCAGCTCCAGCACGGCCAGTTCTTTGAGCCAGTTAGTCGGCGAGACACAACATACAGGGACGAGTACTTCACTAACCGGCCAATCCGATGTACGTAATCCTCAACGGTGAGGGGGAACGTAACGTTGATGACGAGCTTGACTGCAGGTATGTCGAGGCCACGAGCTGCCACATCAGTTGCGACAAGAACGGTTGAGACGCCTTTTTTGAAGGAATCCAAACTTTTGAACCGTTCTTGTTGGCCCAAATCGCCGTGTATTCCGGCAACCTTGAAGCCTTTATTCCAAAGAAGTCTCTCGACACGCACAGCCTCCTTTTTATACAAGCAGAACACCAAAATCTTATCCGAGCTGGATGGGCCTTTCTGGTATTTGTTCAATAACTGTACAAGCCTCTGTTCTTTTTCGTGCGGCTTCACCACTTCAACAACTTGCTTGATTCTAGTGTTTGCGCGCGGATCAGCCGAAGGCTCTCCACCAATTGTGACTGTCACAGGAGAAGTCATGAACGTTGCAGCAAGATCCCTAACGACCGGGGGCCAGGTCGCAGTGAACATAACAGTTTGACGCTTTGACACCGGCATGGGGCGGATGATATCTTTGATGTCCTGTTCGAAACCTTTATCCAGCATGCGATCCGCTTCATCCAGAACAAGATACTTGACTTTTCCTAGATCGACCGAGCCATCATTCTGAAGATCCTTCAATCTTCCTGGTGTGGCCACGACAATAGCAGCAGTCTTCAAGGCCTGGCGTTGCTCATCTTTATTCACACCCCCGAAGATACAAGCTACCTTGATATCCACTAGTTCTGCGAACTTCGAGATCTGATCATGTATTTGCATTGCAAGTTCTCTTGTTGGGGAAATCATCACCGCTGTCGGCTTATAAGGCTTTCCCTTCTTCGCCGAGTCTTGTAAGTTTTTCAGGCAGGGCAAGCCGAAGCCGAGCGTCTTACCACTCCCGGTTTCAGCGATGCCGATTACATCACGGCCAGCAAACAGGAAAGGCCAGGTTGCTGACTGGATAGCAGTCGGGGAACTGAACGACTCAAGAGGACGGTACAGTGCACTGTTGCAGGTAGGTAGGTGAGAGAAAGAGGTAATGGGTTGAAGCTTCGTTGCTCCCTCTAAGGTATCCGTGATCTTGACGGAATTTTCTTCGAGGAATTTCTCTATGACTGCTGGGGAAGGCTCTTTCAGGTCAGTGTTCTGCGTCTCAGAAGCCTGCGCACTGGCCTTGGAGTCCTCGGCCTTCTTTGTGTGCTTTTCGTTTCTTGACTTCTTTTTCGCCCTATGCTCAGTGCTACCCTTATCTTGGAGTTCACGCTTGGCCATGTTGTTTTTGTTGCTTTGAACTTTCTCAGGGTTAAAAGCGGAGAATATGTGTGAGAGATTGTTGTAACAAAAAGTAAAAAAAAAAGAAAAAAGAAAAAAAAAGAAAGAAAGAAATAATAATCGTAAAGCAAGTCGGCTGCGTCTCGAAGAAATAACAGCAAATGTTTTGAGGGCGCCTTCTTTTTGCCCTTAGAATACTTTTATTTTATTTTTTTTATTCTCGCTATCTTCTTTTTGGGCTTGCCTGTCTGGAGCAAAACTTTGATTCGGGATAAAGTACTCCATACGGTTAAAACTCTTGCCCTAGTGCTGCTCCGTCCCGCTCCTTAATCCTAATCCAGTTAGTACTGTCTGCGCCGCGGATGTCAATCTAGCCTTTTGTGTCCTACATACACAGTAGACAATTCTATGGAGACCTACAACGTCGTAGTTGTAGTTGCAGCCTAGTAGTATCTAGATTTAGTATAGTATTCTCAAGATTGTCAATTCAAGGAGGCTCGGGAATAACCGGTACTCCAAAAGAAGAACAATCACAGGATCAGAGCGTCTTTAAGAATCTACAAAACTTGCGGGCATCCATTGAGATACGTTCGCCACTACATTATGCCTACACTAGACCTGCGTTCTCTACCATGGCTGCCTTCGTAGTGACCTCGTTGTTGATTTATTTGTATGTATGCTGAACTTCTCCGCTTCCACCTTCGAGTCAGCTGCTGGCTTCTCAACCGGGCTAATTTGCATTCAATTGATCGTGCATATTAATTTTCCCTTGGTTTGATTGCTCTCCAGCAACCTATGGGCATCCGCGATTTCTTCAAATGCGAAAACCTTCTCGATGAAGACTTTGAATGTTTTGTCGTTGAACTTGGGTAAAGCATGGTCCACCAGAAGATCACGTAGTCTCCCCTGATAATCTTCATCCCTGCTGCGAAGAGTGCTGCCTTCGAACCTCAATCTCTTCCTCAGGATTCCACTGATGTCAGTATTGGCAGGGAGGATAGAACCACTCATCTGTCCTAATTGGACAATACGTGCATCCCGTGCGGCCACGTCAAGATTGCCTTGAAAATGTGCGGCGCCCACAAAATCGACGACTATGTCGACTCCACGACCATTCGTTTCTTTCAGTATCTCGGAGGCCCAGTCTTGACTCTTGTAATTATACCCAGCAGTAGCCCCTAGTTCACGTACGCAAAAGTCAACTTTTTCCTGCGAACCTGCGGTCACATAGACAGCAGATGCTTTGTCAAGCTTCGCAAGTTGGATCCCGGAAATTGATACAGATGAAGCCCCTGCATGCCAAAGAACGGACTTTCCAGCGCTGAATTCGCCAATCAGATAGAGCGCCTGGCTTGCAGTTATCCAGGTCTAAGGAGATGGTGCCATCGTTATTACAAATTGGTTCCCTAGAAGTTGGAGGTCAAGCATACCTCTGGTATTCCTGCAGCCTCCTCCCATGTCAACCCCGAGGGTTTGTGTATCAACATCTTGGTCGACACGGCGATGTATTCCGCATAGGCCCCTGACAAAATGTAATGAATACTTACACACTCTATCATAAAGAATGGCACGTACCGCCATAGGCTAGGCCAAAAACACTGTCGCCGATTTGAAAGCCATTGCTTGTATCCGCACCAAGCTCCTCTATCACCCCGGAAAATTCGACCCCCATGGTGCTAGGAGCTTGCGGAGGAAGAGGATATTTTCCTTCGCGTTGAAGCAAGTCCATTCTGTTCAGCCCGAATGCCTTGATCTTGACCAAAGCCTGGCCAGGGCTGGGCTTCGGTATTGGGATCTGGTCAACGAACAGAGCATCGGCACTTCCTTTGCCCCCTTGAATACCTGGGTGTTCTTAGCATAGCACGCTCGAAAGTCTGAGCAATGCAACTCACCAATGGCTCTCATGTTGCCTCCCATCTTTGCTTGACACTATAAATGGGTTGATTACAAGTTTTTCTAAATCGCTTTTACTCTCCGCCCCGTGGTTATTTGTCTCGGTTGTGCAGTACGGCATTCAGCGTCATCATTTGTCATCAAATGGAGGGCAATTAGTCATAATTAATGACAAAGTTGTAACTACGTTAGTTAACTTAACTGCTGACTTAACGGTTAAAATAGGCTGATCTACCATTTTAATTCACCGTGATCTAGTCGATAACGTTCAGTTGTTTGTCATATGCTCTATAGCAGTTTACGTATGTATATTCAGAATCTCAAAGAGAATGTAACGGGTTTCAAAACCCCACATACTCGTGTCTCCGGGCGTCACATGTGTAGGTAGATTCAGGAACCGATCATAAAGGCCTAGAGGAGACATGAACACACTGCTGGAATTGGAACCATACAGCAACAAGGTGGTTATGAACATTGATAACAGCCCTGTATCTGTTGAAACTGCCTTCACTATCTGTGTGAATTGGGCTCAGCTGCTTTCGTATGTAAATATTCAGAAACATTCCCGCTATCTGCCAGAAGTCACTACCGTTCGAACTCTTTGGCAAGTCTATGCGGGCGCAAGTCAGCGTGGCTAATCTTTCTAAGTCCAAGCGACAGCTATTGCTAGTCAAGTGTGGTATCACAGAATCAACTTTGGCTTATATTTTCATTGTTCAGTTTGTAGCACCTTTCAAGATCCATCATCGTTTCAGGTATGCATCCTATCCTACTGACAGCAGCCGATGTCATGCAATCTCAAAGCCACAAATTCTGAAAATTTCATTGAACAGAGAGTTGTAAGAATAAAGATGCACAATGCTTGCAAGGGGAGTCTCAAGAAGCCTTGAGCATGCTGAAAGCATATTCAAGATACATTGTAAGATTCAATAAGATCGGCAAGGCGTGAAGCCTCGTGGGAATAATTTATCGGGGTGGCCGAGAATACCTGATACCGTATACTGGTAGAGTGAATATTAGCAGTGCCATCTGAGCCATGGAACGAATTGCCTTACCGTTGTTGTTCGCCGAAATGATCTATTTTGGCACGGCATCGGAAATTCCACGTCCGGCAATTGGCATCCTGGAATGCGTCGCCAGCTGCTTTCTCGTCCGTCTGGAACAGTTCCATTAACTGATTGGCCGACATGTCCATCATCAATTTGCCCACGTCGTCGAAGCAGCTTAGCCAAAGTTGGCCGGTATGGTCGCTAACATTAACGTGCATTATGTAGCGGTAATCTGGTCGGGGGTGAGTCTTATCGCAGCGCTCACAACGCCACTGGCCGGGATCAAGCTCGGTAACCTTCTTGTTGCAAGTTTCTGAGAGACAAGCAGGATAAGCAAAGGACATGTTATCCTGCTTTATGTAGATGACCGTTGCTTTCAGCGAAAAGTAAACCGCTTCCTCCGAC